ATCCAAACCATTCTATGATTCTATGAAATGGCCTCTCTGATCGGTCTAAGAAAGCTCCCTCAAAGTCTGCTGGGAGGGTTCCTCTAACTCTGCACGTGGGCAGCTCAAACTGGCTGCCTTATGACTCATAAAGTGGCCAGTGTGTTCAAAAGGGGGGAGGGCAAAACAGATTCATAGCAAAGCTGTTTTCAAGAGGATGAGGAATCAGTATAGCTCTTACCACCCACTAACACATTTATGAAGACTGAAAAATCCAAGCCCTTGAATAAAATTGATAAGGATCTTAGATGAAAAAAAATTTAATACACCTTGATTATGATTTCACAAAGGGTTTCTTACCTTCCTTCACATATCACATTGATTAGGAATGAAGAAGTTTGTCTTTCCCTTTGCAATTAAAGCTACCAAGTTCTCTTAAGACAGTAAACATGATCTTGGAACATACATTGTCTGAATATTCAAAGCTATGAGTATCACAGCGTGGTTTAGATTGGAAAGGACCTCAAAGATCATCTAGTTCCAACCCCCCTGCCATGAGCAGGGACACCATTTTAAAGTATCATTTTAAGGTCGCACCTATGGAACTTACCTTCTGAATAGCCACACGCCTGAGTCAATGCATGACAGTGTGCTAGCATGGAAGCATGAGAGATAGTAATGCCCACTGTGCTGCCCTCCTTACTTGTTTTGTACTGAAAAGAGAAAGTTCATATTATATTATATTATATTATATTACATTACATTACATATTACATTATATTAACGGTAAAATCTAGAAAATTTACAGTAGTGAACTGAAAGGATATTTTATCATAAAAATGCAGTGAACTTTTTTTAAAAAATGAAAAAGCTACCAAAGATGCATTTATGTTCAGAGAATACACTAATATGATAGGAAATATGACTGTTTCTCTAGCCCAAAGAAACAAATTGTCCCAGGGATCCCAAAATGCCAGTTGATCCCCAATCTTCAATCTGACTCAGCACAACCACTCAAATGACAGTTTGTCTGGTAGCCTCGAAGGACACATTCTTGTTCCACAGTTAGAAACATAATTATAGTGATCTTTTTTATTGCATCAAGAGATTAAAGGAAGAAAATGTGCTGTGACATATACTATAACAGAGTAGTGGTAAGTTAGGCATGTTGTACTGGATCACCTCGATGTAAGCGATCTCAGCGCTGGCATCCCGTACTTGCGGATGCCAGTCCTTAGTTGGTTTTGCCAGATGCTTCCCATCAATCACAAACCAAACGAGACGAGGCCAGCCTTCAAAGACAAAGAAAAACCACTGTCATTACAGTTCCAAAAAATCAGTTTCTTTCTCCCAGTGTTCAGAGATAACAACAGGACACACGCCAAAGCCATAGCATCACTCCCCTGAGAGGAAGAAGCAGCACTAAGTACTATCTTGACAACAAAGGCAGTTCTTTATACGCAAGATTAGCTTAAAAACATACCTTTGAAGGTAACCACCTCGCCAGTCTGAGCTTTCGGAAGGCCTTTTTGACAGGCATCAGTGGTTAAAGCTAGTGTTACTCCACAGCTGCCCAACAGAAACCCAATCTGCTGGCTGCCAGCATCCTACAGAGAAACCATGTTAGAGCAAACTTTCAAATAACAAAGCTTTTGTACAGTTTACTGTAACTTTTCCATGTTTAGAAAACATTAAGCCAATTTATATCACAGGAAAAAATAAATTTCTAGCCTGTACGACCTTCTATGGAAGACTAGAGACTGAAGTCTATGCTCAAAAGTCTTAGTTTTGCTCAGCGGCAACTAAGTTAGACTTGGCAGTAGCTCTGGCAAGCAATGGTGGTTCATCCCTCCCCAACCCAACAGGAATGTTTATAAGTTCTGGTAACACAGAGAGCTCGTCTGATGCTGCTTCTGAGTCCTAAGGCGCTAAAGAGCAGAGCCTGTAGCTTTTCAGCTCTGACTTCACACCTTCCCTAAAAACCTCAACGTGTGTGGGATTACTGAACTACTTCCAGTAACCAGGGTGTCTCTACCTTCCTGTGCTCTCACTACTCAGCATGAGAACCCAAAAGCCAGCATTTCTGTGTAATATTTTAGGAAATACTTTCACACATCTTTTAAAAAGTTACACTTTCTACAGTTATGTCTCCCAAAATAGTTAACTTACTAGCTTCATACTGCTTCCATCCTTCCCTAACTAAACACTAAGCACTTTTCAAACATGTAACATGCATTGAGCAGTTCAGCTGATGCACCATCTTGCTTTCAAACGTGCAGGCTTGGAGGGTTCCCATATAAAGGACTGTAGGATTTAGACCTTGCCACTTCATTTCTTTATGAAGCCATAAAAACGTTGAATATATTTACCTACCTTTCTTGTCAGTGGAACTTCTATTGGGACAGGGATAAGTTCTGCCAGGAGACATCCATAAAACGCCACCATAAACATAACTGGATCACTATTAGGAAATACAAGAGCTACCTACAAAAATACATTAAAATAACAAGAAATGTTTTTTGTTGTTGTTTGAGGGAAGAGGGCTGCTTTTTAATTTCTGAAAAAAACCCCAAAAACCCATCTTCACAACAATGTTCAGGTTCATATTTAAACTAGGAACAGAAATACTAAATGTTGTGATAATACAGTAAAACAAGTCACAGCATTACATGGCTTCCTTTAGCTAAAGCTGTTCCTCACTGTCTATTTTATCTGCAGAGACCATGAGCAATTGGTTGACTGGTCATGCTCAAAGAGTTCTGGTCAACGGGGTGACATCGGGCTGGTGACTGGTCACTAGCGTGGTCCTGCAGGGATCCATCCTGGGGCGGCCTCACCTCCAGCACTGGGGGCAGTTTGGGCACCACAGGAGAAAAAGCATCTAAAGCTGCTGGAGAGTGTCCAGAGGAGGGACACAACATTGGGGAAGGGTTTAGAAGGGAATGGTGTGAGAAGAGGCTGAAAGTGCTTGGTTTGTTGAGCCTGGAGAAGAGGAGACTGAGAGGAGATCTCCTGGGGGTCTAGAACTTCCTCCCAAGGGGCAGAGGAGGGGCAGGCGCTGATCTCTTCTCTCTGGCCACCAACGAATGCCAGGAGCAGAGGGAATGGCAGGAAGATGTGGCAGGGGAGGGTGAGGTTGGCCATGAGGAAAAGGTTCTTGAGGCACCCAGAGGGTGGTGGAGCACTGGAACAGGCTCCCCAGGGAGGTGCTGATGGCACCAAGCCTGACAAGATTGCAGCAGCATTTGGCCAAGGCCCTGAGGGACATGGTGTGAATGTTGGGCTTGTCCTGTGCAGGGACAGGAGTTGGACTCCATCATCCTTGTGGGTCCCCCCCAACTCACAATATTCAATGATTGTATGATTAGCCTACCCGGTCTCCAGGCTTCAGCAGTGGTTCATTCTTAGTGGTTAGCTTGTTTAGCAGGGTATATGCTAACTTCAAGCTTCGACTCCACAGCTTGCCTGGAGAAAAGACAATACACAAATTAAAAAAAAATTGAGACTAAACTGTTATAATTCAACTGGCAAATCTCAGTGCCTTATACACACACTAGACAAATTGGTTGTATTAGAGCAGGGCAACGGGCACATGAGCAAGTAAACAGGGAAAAGCAAACGCTGCTGTTGTGACATCAATCCCACCTCACAAACCTTCTGAGCCCTCCCAATGTTTCAGTGTGTGCACACACACACACAGTCTGGTTGATACAACTTGACGGCGTTTCCAAAAGGCGCTTCACCAGACTCCTTCCTAAGGGCTCGTACAGAAAGCAAACTGCTTGGGATAGAAAGAAAGAAACATCCTAAACTGGACAAAAAAATTAACTGAAATTGAAGAAACAAAGGGTAGGAATAAATGCTACAATATCTGGCTCTGTGAAACACCAGTTCAGTGTTCATAGTGATCTACATAGTGCCCAATAATTCAAACCAAAAAATTATTCCATGCTATTAAATATAGCAATCTAACTACTTATTTGGCACAGTATAAAAATCATTTTTTAATCTTAGCCTCCAAAAGAAAACGAGAGCTTTGCTAAAAAACCAAAAAAGTTTATAAAAAAATAGGCAACAGCAAAACTCTTCCACTGTAAATGGTAAATCAAAGTAAGAACCCCCCAAAGAAGCACACAGTGGCAAACAGCACGTATCTGCAACTCAGCTTTCTAGTATAGGGTTTTTATTATGGACCAACATCTGCACTCGATCCCTTCAGACCATGTAGCAACCACCAGTTATTTTGTGCTTGTCAGTCTCAAACTTCTTCAATTAAATTCAAAAGTTTTTCTCTGTGTAACTTCCAGTCATATATAAAAAAGTTACATAAGAGTTGGGCACATCAAATGGATAAAGTTCTATAAAGAACTTACTATTCAGGGCAGTTGGCTGAGAGTCTAAGCACAATTTAGAGCTTGGCTTCTTGTTAGTTCTTCTTTTCCTTTCTTTTAAAATGTAAAACTAAACATGATATTCTAAACATTCTCAAAGCTCCACTGCAAAGTAATGAAACTAATGCAGCTGCTCAGTTACATTTCTTGTAAGCATACTTCATCTGTAAGAACGTAACAACAAATTTTAATATTCTAACATACTATACAATTAAATGCTACTGTGTGGGGACACAATTATCTTCCCAAAAAATGCAATATTATAATACTTCTAGTTCATTGATACAGGCAAGTTTTACTTTTGACAATAACACCCTTAATACGCTCCCAAAGTACAAGAACACACTCAATATCTACACTGGGAATCTGAAGAGTGCATTATTAGGCATCTCTTTCTTTCTCCTATTTCACACCAGGTTATTTTTAGTGTTCCTTTAAACAAAAAGCCCACAACTGTTTGACATTTATGAATAGCCACTTGCAAAGAACCAATACCATATACATTTTCCCTTCATTAACTTGCTTTAAAATGTTTTTTGTATACGACCAATTCATAATTTGCATTCTAACAGCAATGTAAAACTATCTGTTGTAAGCACAGGCAGTGCCTCTAGAGCACAGCAAAGTGTTTGTTCCACAAGGAAGGCGGAACTCTTCCTTACAGTTATCACCAACACCTACCGTAAGTCAGCGTATAAATTGCTTTCCCCGTCGTGTCCAATGCTGTCAGACAAGGGGCTTTGGGCTGGGTAGTGCCCCAGCGCTGCAGGGCAGCCAGCAGAGAAGGTGGCCAGTTGGTTACTACACCCAAGGGTTCACCTTTCAGTACATTCACTGGGTTTCCTTCAGGCTTTGGTTGATTTGGGTCAGGCTGTTGCACTAAAACCAGAGAACAGTAAAATCCCAAATGTCAATCCTTATAAAATGTAAAAGTTACACTTCACAGACTATTCTACGAACCGTTCTCACCTTTCACTTCCTCACAGCTATGATTACTTCTCCTGTGCTTTATGATGATGCTATGCTAATCAGTTGTTGGCTTCATAAAAAAAAAATTACCATCACTTCGGAGCTCTGATTCCACACTATTAGCAGAAGGCCAAGGGCATCCTGGCCTGGATCAGCACCAGTGTGGCCAGTAGGACCAGGGAAGTTCTCTTCCCCCTGCACTGGGCACTGGTGAGGCCGCAGCTGGAGTGCTGGGTTCAGTGTTGGGCCCCTGAGTCCAAGAAGGACATGGAGGTGCTGGAGCGTGTCCAGAGAAGGGAACGGAGCTGGGGAAGGGTCTGGAGCACAAGTGTGCTGAGTTCCCTTGTGGCTGAGGGAACTGGGGGTGTTGAACCTGGAGAAAAGGAGGCTGAGGGGAGACCTTCTGGCTCTGTGCAAGTCCCTTGGAGGAGGATGGGGAGAGGTGGGGGCGGGTCTGTTCAACCAAGGCCCAAGGGACAGGCCAAGAGGAAATGGGCTCCAGTTGTGGCCAG